CTCATTGGTCAAATACCAGAAGAAATGCCTCCATGCAAACTGCTCCTTCACGTAACCACGAGATTTCAGCGACTGCATTGCTTTCATGACGTGGAGGTTGGGCACATTTTTGTCTGCCAGTTCTGGGTGTTTAGGCATATGAACATCTTTCTTATCTACCATCACTCCCTCCTTAAAAAGGAGTTCGTAGATGGCAATGTGGGGTTTTTTAGGCATCAACATCGTGGCGGCAGCAAGAGGCTCGAACACTGGAAAGCAGCAGAGTTATTGAGGCTCCACCTTCTCCTCTGACAGCCCCAAGGGTCTTCAGAAGGTCTCATGCCAGAGGACCCTCAAAGAGAACCCTCAACCCAGGAAGACCACCACCTGCATCTCAAGGTCCTTGGGGACCTGTGGGGTCTCTCTTCCAAGGACTCAGTCAGGGCACCAAGTCAGCGCGAGGCAGGACCACTCCAGGAGTCCTACCAGCTCAGACCATAAGGCCTTCCTCGTTCAGTATCCTGATTCCCACATCATGCACTACAGAAAACTGGCCCACACAAAAACCAACAAATGAAATCAATTCCTAAAACAACTACCTAGAGCAGCACTGACATAACAAAGACTCAGCCAAACACCTTCCTTGTTCTGTCCAGCTGCCTAACAGCACAGTGCCGAAGCCTGGCAGATCTCACGAGGAAGGGCGTTGCCCAAGGGGGAGGCCACCGCAGAAAAGGCCCTGGGAGCTGCCAGTTGTGTCTCCTGCAAGGCCTCAGGTGCTGATCAGAGCACAGAAGAAGGAACCTTTGGAAGGGGCCGTTTCCCTCTCTTTAGGGCTTTGCCCCCTGAATATTTCTGACGCTTTGGCAAGCCTGAGGGTTCCCCGAAGGCGGCGGATACCTGCCTCTTGTGAATAGGTGGTGCCATTTTGGAAACACAAGCAAGGGAGAACAGAAGACCAAACGCACACAAGGGCAGCTAGCATCACCATCACACCCTGTCCGTGAGCTCCCTAGAGGAGGGCTTTCCAAACTGTGTGTCACGACACGTTAGTGTGTCGGCTGCAGTGTGTAGGTGTGTCGCACGAATGCTCCCCATGCTGGAAAGGTGTTCATTTAACCTTCGGTTTGCTAGTAAAATTGGATTACTGTGTTGCGAAATGATGCATGTCTAAAAAGTGTGTCACCAACATTGAAAGTTTTGAAGGCTCAGAGAGATCTGGGTGGCTGCATTTGGGAGACAGAATACAGGGCAAGTGGACCGGTTTGATCTAGCAGGGCCCTCTCTCCCTCTTTGAGAACAGAATGGCAAAAAGTGAAGGGGAATAAAGTAAGGCCGACAGGGAAATTGTTGTGTTGTTTGTATTGGTGCTGTAAATATTTTTTTTAAAAGAAAAGAAGTCTGTATGAAATGGAAGAAAACAGCTGCAATCTGGTTGCTGGGCATTATAAACCAGCACAGGAAAAAGGATATTAAAGTTTAGATCAGCTCTGCTATGAGCTATAGGACAGGCAAAGAACGATAAGACTGGAGAAAGAATTTCTGGTTCTTACAGGGAGAGAGAAAAAATCCCCATAGATGAATTCAATTAAGACACAGGAGAGGGTTCTGTTGAAAAGAAACCCCTGACACCGCGGGGAGTTTAACAGCCCACGTCTTGGCTGGCTTCCCAAAAGCCGCAATGCCAAAAGCAGCATGGTTGTGAAGGCAGCAGCTCTACAGAGAAAAGTCTCCTCTGAAGCTGATTTAAGACACCCCACAGTTCTTTCTGGGTGTAATAGAAAAGTTCCAAAGTTGTGCAGCACTTTTCCTGACGGTTCAAAGCACTGTGGATTCAAGGCTGAAGCTATTCTTCATCGGCAGGGATTTGGGAATCTGTGGCCCTCCAGGTGTTACCAATGCTACATATGCAGTTAGGAGATTCCAGGTGTTGTTGGCGCATCACCGGGGATGACTGGCGATGCTGGGGGGAGCTGGAGTATGCCAACATCTGGAGCCGCACCTCGACCTACAACATCTCTGCATGTTAATTTGGCAAGGTAAGGCTGAAAAACTGGCCAAGACCGGCCACGGGAGACAATTGCTGAGCAGCTATTGCATCGTCTGCTTTTCGTGTTACAAGATGCATTGTGGGTTTGGGAAGCAAAAGACAAGACACCAACTACATGAACGATCTCACCACCCCAATATTGCCGCCACTGTGAGCCTCTGACCCTCTAGCCACCAACAGAATTCACGGCAGAGGAAAAGCCTTCCTGGTCCCCAGCTCTGGCTGCCGCCTTTGACACACTTACCTGGGAGTAAGTCCCACTGAACTCAGTAGGGCTTACAGTACTTCAAAGCAGTTGGGTATGGGGTGGTTAGTCTACTAGCTATGCTACAAGAGTTATTGCGGCCCCAAGAATTGCAGCCTACAATGACAGCTTGCTAGGGCGGCAACTTTTCAACAGTGAATCTGTGAATAGATTAAAATGCCACCTTCAGTTACGCGGGAAAGGTTTTAAGTAAAACTGAGCACTTGCAAAAACAGAAGGTGAGCGCAATCTTGGAAGAGAATCCAAGCCAGTTCTGATCTAAGAGGCAACAGCACAATCTTCTGCATGCCTACTGAGAAGCAGGTCCCACAGAATTCGACCGTGTGGCCTTCATGGTCTATTTTCCCCTATAAAAATACTGTGGATTTTATAAGCAAACCTTTGCGAATGCTTTTAATCAATCAATTAAATGAAGAAACTCACTCAACTAAGATATCTTTTAAATCAAGCCATAGCCCTATTTCCTCTGTCAAGGCTGCAAACTTCACCTTCTTCTCATAGCCGACACCGTTTCTATTCTGCCACTGGGATGAGCAGGGATTAAATGCAAAGTGTTGTGATATGTACTGGGGCAATATGGTGATTTCCTTATAAAACTTTAAAGAGGGGAGGGGGGAGCGAGCAAAAAAGCACACGAGGTTGACTAACATACATGTAAATGCATTCAGAACTCAGCTATTGAAAGATCAAGACTATAGATCAGGAAACTGGGCAGAGCTACAAGATGTCAACTCTCCCTGACGTAGGAAGCCCAGCACTGTTATTATCTCCTGTGCTGGTAAGGTAAAGGTACCCCTGCCCGTACGGGCCAGTCTTGACAGACTCTGGGGTTGTGCGCCCATCTCACTTAAGAGGCCAGGGGCCAGCGCTGTCCGGAGACACTTTCCGGGTCACGTGGCCAGCGTGACAAGCTGCATCTGGCGAGCCAGCGCAGCACATGGAAACGCCGTTTACCTTCCCGCCGGTAAGCGGTCCCTATTTATCTACTTGCACCTGGGGGTGCTTTTGAACTGCTAGGTTGGCAGGCGCTGGGACCGAGCAACGGGAGCGCACCCCACCGCGGGGATTCGAACCTCCGACCTTTTGATCGGCAAGCCCTGGGCGCTGAGGCTTTTACCCACAGCGCCACCCGCGTCCCCTTAAGCTGATGATATACACCCAGGCACATTTTCAAATTTCCGTCTTTGTCCTCAGGGCTGGAAAGTTGTCGCTTCAAAGAAAAATCAAGTAAAACTCAGACATTTCCAGCTATAATGATGCACGTGCATAGCTATACTAGAAAATAACACAGAAAAAATGCTTGAGTTAATCTCCTAACCACTTATCCGAGACATCAGCCGGCCCCAAATCAGAGCCCATTCCACAACTCCCAGGAGCCCTGGTCAGAATGAGGCCGACCTGGAGGGAGGCAGCTTGGGAGAGGCTGCAAGAGATGGTCAACCAGCAGCCCGAGGGCGGAAGCAGGTCCACAACACTGTTCTGCTTACCTGCTGAAAAAACTATTTAAGATTTCGTTTATCAAAAAGCCAGAGGCTTTTCTGTTAGGCCCAATATCTAATGACATCCCCAGAGATAAGAAAAATTTATTCTTTTATGCAACAGCAGCAGCCAGAATATTGATCGCAAAGAATTGGAAGGAGGAGAAAAGACCATCATTATTAGAATGGCAAAGCAAGCCCTGTGAGTTTGTGGAAATGGCAAAATTGACGGCAATCATTAGAGGCCATTCAAATCAGAGAATAATTAAAGAGTGGGATGGAGTGAAGGAATACATGAACAAATATGGTTCCAGAACTGGAATATTAATAGATAATGTGCAGGGGTAAGCAAGGAAATAATAAAAGAATGAATTGAATAATTATTAAACTACAACAACACAACAAGATGGAAGAAGTTAAAAAAATATTGAGATCACACATGGGTGAAGGGGAGTGGGGGTATAGGGGAATTTATAAAAATTTCTAATATACAGTGGTACCTCGGGTTAAGTACTTAATTCGTTCCAGAGGTCCGTTCTTAACCTGAAACTGTTCTTAACCTGAAGCACCACTTTAGCTAAAGGGGCCTCCCGCTGCTGCCGCGCTGCCGGAGAACGATTTCTGTTCTCATCCTGAAGCAAAGTTCTTAACCCAAGGTACTATTTCTGGGTCAGCGGAGTCTGAAACCTGAAGCGTATGTAACCTGAAGTGTATGTAACCTGAGTTACCACTGTAGTATTTCTAATTGCGTTGCATTTATATATAGCAAAGGGAAGTCTATAGCAATTAGGTATATTTTAATCTAGTCAACTATGTAATAGGCTTATGTTACAAAACAAATATGGAGTTTGAATTTGATGTTTGTAATTCTTTTTCGGTTTTGGAATAAAGTTTAAAAATAAAGCAAAAAACACTGTTCTGCTCACCCTCCTGCAAACTTGCGGGAGGTTCTCAGTTGCCCTGCCAAGCTTGGAAGACAGGGGAGCCCTTGATGGCAGACGTGTCGCAGCACGTAACTCTTGGCCCCTTTTGAGAGCAGCTGAGGCAAAGGCAGTGAGGATGCACTTATGCCGTCACTCAGTGCACTTCCAGCCTCACATGCCTTTACTCTGCATCCTGAGCCACGATGCCAAGGAGCGAGAGCCTGGAGTTCCCTGTTTTAGCCTCAAAAACATAGGACTGCCCAGAGTAACGGTATGGTCTGAACGTATCACCTGCCTGAACTCACCTCTTTATCAAGGACTGCTGCAAGGTTTTGCAAACTGTGAGAGACTCCCCGGTAAACATGTGGCACATGATGACCTCGAGGCAAGCGGTCATGAAGGCCATCACAGCGTCCGGCTGCAGAGATCCGCTCCGGGAGATGATGCAGAGGCGCTGGAGGGACGAGCAGTGGCTCAGGGCCTGGAAGAACTGGGCGTTGGCGTTGAAGTAGGGCTGCTCAAGCCTGCGGAGGCAAAACAAGGGTCAACCAAACGACACGCCTTGGAGAGACAACACTTGCAAAGGGGGGGCTCTACATCTGAAAGCAGCCCTGTTTAGGGGAAGTTTTTAATGTTTGATGCATTACTGTATTTTAATATTTTGTTGGAAGCTGCCCAGAGTGGCTGGGGAGGCCCAGCCAGACGGGCGGGGTATAAATAATATATTATTATTATTATTATTATTATTATTATTATTATTATTATTGACGTTTTGTTGTGCTTTTAAAATTCTGTTGGGAGCCACCCAGAGTGGCTGGGGAAACCCAGCCAGATGGACGAGGTATAAATAGCAAATTACCGTATTTTTCGCTCTACAAGACGCACCAGACCACAAGACGCACCTAGTTTTTGGAGGAGGAAAACAAGAAAAAAAATATTCTGAATCTCAGAAGCCAGAACAACAAGAGGGATCGCTGCGCAGAAAAAGCAACAATCCCTCTTGCTGTTCTGGCTTCTGGGATAGCTGCGCAGCCTGCATTCCCTCCATAAGACGCACACACATTTCCCCTTACTTTTTAGGAGGGAAAAAGTGAGTCTTATAGAGCAAAAAATATGGTATTTTTTATTTTTATTATTATTACTCTACCAGGAGGGGAAGGATTTGCAAAGCCAGAGGGGAAGAGGAAAGAACACCCCTGCTTTTAGCAGAGTGGAGCTCAGCGCAGAGCTTTTGGGAAGGCAAAATCCATTTGATTTTAATTGAAACCTCTGGTGTAACCTCTATGAAGGAACTAGCTGGAGAGTTAACTCACCGGTGGGTTTTAAAGGAGAAAGACCCCAATGAAAAGCTCCAGTTAAGAGGTTAGACGTTTTGTAAACTAGGCTGCATCTGCTCCTGCCTCACTCCTCTCCCTTTTGTGACTCTTGGACAGGTGAAACCTGTGGCAACGCCCTGACTTCTGAGCTTTTATCTATTTACAGGGCAACCTGAGATGGTCTCATCATTGCCATAGCTTGTAAACTGCTGTTTTCCCAGTTGCCTGGAGTGAGTGGGATCAGCTCCAGGAATCCAGAGGAGGAAAACACTATTGAAAATGATCTGCTGGCAGGGTGTGTGTCTCTCTTTCTCTCTTCTTCCACCCTCCCCTCAGACATCTCTCTGCCACAGGGATAAGAATTCACTTATTTGATACTCAGCATCGTGTCTCAGGTGTCAAACGCTGATCTTCCGTTTTCTCCACTGAAATCCAAAGAAAGGAAACCCGCTTTGAGGTTTTCTACAAACAAGCGGCAAACAAGTTTTATAAAATAAATAAAAGGGAAGCAAAGGAAGGACTCCTTGTGTGATAAGTACCATGGAAAAGTAGGGGAGGGGTGAATAAAGAGGTTTTGCTGTTGCTCCATGATCAAAGCAACATGTGAGCAAGCAAAGGAAAGCTCAGCTGGTTAGAACATGGTGCTGATAACAGCAAGGTGACAGATTCAATCCCTATATGGGACAGCTGCATATTCCTGCACCTCAGGGGACCAGAAGATCTTCAGGGTCCCTTCCAACTCTACAATTCTATGCCATTAAGCTACTCACAACAGTAAGTGGTCAGAAAATATTTTTGCACTACAGCATCCCGCCCACCAGGTGACACTGTTGCCATATTATTATCATCAGAATATACTTTTTTGTTTTCAAGCCCTGACAATATCACTGTTTAAATGTCCAGAGTTAAAAAAGGGTTGAGAATCAGGGTGAATCACAGGCAGACACCACCCCCAGGGAGTTGCTTTGAAACTATCCTCTTTTGTATCAAAATATATTTTTCCCTGTTTAGAATGCTGAGTCCATTGGCTCTGTGGTGTATTAATCAGTGAAGGCCAACTATTATCAATGGGCCTGGGAGTTAAAGGCATGTTCATTCGGTTTTCTTTGAGGCTATTTCAGTTTTAGTGTTTCATTAGGTTGGGGGGAAAGCAGGGGAGGGGGGAATAAAACAAGGAATGGCCTTTGCTACAAACAATGAAGGGATGCTTTGATCATTAAACTGCTTTCCATGTCTCCGGAAGGCACCCACCTTGCAATTTTGGTAACAAGCAAACTCACCAGCATTTTAATCAATTGGTGAAACAACTACAAATTCATCAATGAGCTGACAGCCTTTTATGTTAACTGTAAATTGAATAGTGTACGTCCATTGCTTCCTTGTCTAGCCTTACCCCTTGATACTGCAAACACACAAAGCTGCTTTCTACTTATACCAAGTGAGCCTGTTGGTCTCTTCACTCCTCCAGATGTTCACAGCCTGCATCTCCCATCGCAATCTCCAGCAACTAGCAGTGTTGAGTTGGACAACAACATCTGGAGGGCCACTGCATCCTTCACCCATGATCTAGCGCAGCAATGTCCAACTGGTTCTCCATGACGATTGTGCGAGTTAAAAAAGAGCTCGCCCAGTTCTTCATGAGCAGGGGTAGGCAACCTAAGGCCCGGGGGTTGGATGCGGCCCAAACACCTTCTCAATCTGGCCGGGGGACGGCCCAGGAATCAGCATGTTTTTACATGAGTAGAATGTGTCCTTTTATTTAAAATGCATCTCTGGGTTATTTGTGGGGAATAGGAATCCATTCATTAATTTTTTTCAAAATATAATCCAGCCCAACCACATTGTTTGAGGGACAGTGGACCGGCCCATGGCTGAAAAAGGTTGCTGGCCCCTGTTCATGAGCGATCACTACGCGCCCTGCCCCAGCGCTATGTCAAATCGCTGCTGCCGGCGTCAGAGTGGGGGAAGGAGGGAGGGCTACAGACTGGTGAGCGAATTAATGCAACCCTTCCCAAAAAAAGCTCACAACTATGGGCAATGACAATGGGTAGATCACTGCCAGTTTTATTACACTGGGAGTAGATCATAGTCTCTAGAGTTGGATATGATATGCCTGATCTAGCGCATACCAATCTAGCCCAAGCCAACAACTCTGCCTGGCCGTGGTTTCCTAGGGCGTCAGGCAAAGGTAATCCCCAGGACTAATGACCAAGAGCCTTTAAAGTCAATGTACCAGGGATGGAACGTGCAGCTTCTACCCGAGTCCAGTGCTAGAAATTCCCCAGGTGCCAGGCACGTTTTGCCAACTGGCGCAGGGTCCAATTTACAAACACATGGAGATCTCCAGCTTTCTTAAGCAGGTTAAGCAGAAGGGCTTATTCACTGCCTTTGCAGCCCACCTTTATCTCCAAGTAGTACATAGTTCACCCCACTCATCAGTTAATCCTTACGACGACCCTGTGAGGTAGGCTAAAAGGCTGTGACTGACTCCAAGGTCACCCAGTAACCTTCCTGAGTTGGGATTTGAACCCTGATCTCCCAGGTCCTAGTCCAACACTCTACACCACGCTGGCTTCCTAGAATACTTCTGCTGTATAAATTAAGTAGGTAAATACATACATTTGGCTTTATTGCTGTTAAATAAATCATGACACGGTGTAATATGTCATGTGTTGTTGTTCCTCTGAGGTTGTAAGACCTGCTATGGAACAGAGGATTGTTATGATGCCTGATATGTAAAACCACAGAATTCAAAGGCTTTCTTTTTCCCATGACTGTGTATCTGAGTTTCTAACACTGCCTGAGTCGTAGGCCCTCTGCCTCTTTAGGAGTTCCGGCTAGCTAAAAACCAAAATGACCCAGCACACCACCTCATTTGCCAGGAAGAAAGAAACCCCAGGTGCCAGAGATCTCTCCCTGCTGCAGCGGGATGGGAAAGCAACAGTGCTGGGCTAATTCAGGAGCTGGCCCACCTCTGCTTCACCTGAGGCCCTCACCTGAGATCTCGCAAACACCTGCAGTGCTTCAACGTGTCCACGAGGGCTGGCATGTACATCACTTTGCCCATCATGCCCAGGTTGGCCAGGGAAAGAGTCCGCAGGTGCTGGCACTGGGCCCCAATGTGAACGAGCCCGGAGCCTGTGAGGATATTGGGCAGCTGGGCCAGCGTGAGGCTCTGCAGGAAGGCCAGCTGGCCAATGGCGGCCACTTCGGCATCCCCCACATGCTGGGCCCGGCCGCAGGGAGGCAGCGAGTTCCGAATGGCCGGCTCGTTCCGCGGCATGGCGGAGGAAAAGCTGGACCCAATCAGCTCCAGCTGCTGCAGAAAGGGAAGGCTTTCTAGCAGGGTCCAAAACACGGAGGGCTGGGGTCTGGAATTCCCCTGCTCCAAGCAGTTCCGCGGATACGTCTGCACCCCGATCCGGACTTTCTTCCCAAAACTCGGGGAGGTGGCGTTGGTCGCCGGCTGCACGGACGGCTTGTCGGCGGGCACCGGGCTCACGTCGGCGATGGAGCAGACGGGCAAGGCCAGCGAGAGGAGGCACTTCAGGTGAGCGAGGAGCTGGCACAGGTGCCTGCCCAAGTCTTCGGAGCTGTGGTGGTGGGCGCACGACAAGTTCAGGTGCCTCAGGTGGCAGCAGGAGGCGACGAGGGTCTCGGCGATGCTGCTGTCAATTTCGTCTTCCGCTTTCCGCAGCGTGGAGTCGGGAGACAGGCAGTGGACGCAGCCGCTCAGGTTCAGGCTGACTAAGCTGCGGAGGTCTTTGCCGCCGTTGAGGACCCTCTGGACCAGCTGGCTGCCGGACAAGCTGCAGCGGCTGAAGCTGAAGTAGACAGGGTTGCTGAACTTCAAGTGCTGGAGGAGGCTGGAGCCATTCATCCAAGACCCGGGCAGCTGCAAGGCATCCAGCGTCACGTTCCGGGCCATGGAGTCCAAGAGGTTTTTCACAGCGCAGCTCTGGGGGAAGCCGCCAGGGGCAGAAATGAGGAAGGCGTGGAGTTTCTCGGGTGTGCGGTCGCTCAGCACCGCCAAGTACAGCCTCACCACCTCCTGGTTGACTGGCCCGGGCGCCAGCCTAGCGTAGAAGACCCGAAGGTTCTGGTAGTGAGGCACATTGCTCTCGCCCACCATGAGCTGCCCAGAGATAATCAAGCCCTCCCGCGACCGGTCCAGGATCTCAAAGTACAGGAGCAGCTTCTCGAGACTGGTGCAGCAAGGAACCACCCCGTAGGAGGGCGTGTACAGGGTCTGCTTGAGCTCCAGCACGCGACTCAGCGTGGCTTTGCACTCGCTGCTCAAGTGGGAGGCGTCAAAGCCCGGGTTCACGTCGATGGCCAGGGAGCGCAGGTGCTGCAGGGCAGACAGCATCTTGGAGAGGCGGAGGGAGGTGAGGTTGCAGCCGGACAGGTTCAGCTTCACCAGGTTCCTGCAGCGGGTCACCTGGTCGATGGTGGAGCCGGGCAGCCAATAGCAGCCGCTCATGTTCAGCTCCTGAATCTCCTTGCCAATCTCCCGCATGAGCTGCTTCACCTGGTCCTTGTCCACCTGTGCGCAACAAGCAGAAACAAAATCACACTTTAGCGATCCGTAAAAGGAGCCAGCACCACTTTCGATGTGAAGGGAGAGACACTCCAGAGACCTCTTCCTTTACAGAGCTCTCTTTGAAAGCAGCTGAGGGTTAGAGTTAGCTTCCAGTGTTTTCAGCATGGAAGGCCAGATCACCCTGCAGTGTGTTCAGAGAGCTAGGCTAACCTTCAGACTGAAGAAACAGCCAGAGGGAAAGAAAGGTTGGGAGAGAGACTGATGGTGAAGTTAAGGACAGCCCTGAAAAGTGTCAGACTGAGCCTGTTCTCTCACTCTCTCTGCTAGAGAGAGCCATATAGCAAACCCCCTACCCTGTTTGAGGCCAGAATAAAGACAAGGGAAAGCATTTTCTTACACTAAATCCAGGAAGCACCTTCTCCATGGTGCCTTTTCACTTAAAATACTAATCTCCTTCTCCACCCTGATGTACACTAGGGACTGAATCCCTTAACTGAAACCCAGTATCCCTGAGAACAAGTATCCCTCCCAGCTCCATCCACATCCCGTGATTCCCTCAAGGCTCTTCCTCACCTGATAGTCCTTATGCAGAGTCACAGCGTGGGTAAGGCTTTTGTCGAGGCTAAGAACAGAAAGCTTCCGGCAGACTCTTCGGACATTCAGGACAAGGTCTGAAACTGGGGTGTACCTCAGGATGTGCAAAAGGATCTCATCCGAGAACTCCATTAAGTTCATAGTGTTGCTCTCCTCTCCACTCTCATCGCTCGTCACTTCCTGAAGAGAGAGAGACAGAGAGAAAGCAAAAGAGCTCAGGACACAGAAATGAGATTCCTTTGGGGACTGTTGGGGAAGAGAATGTGTCTGAAGGGGAGCATATGGAATGATGGGTTTTCCAGTGAAGAAACCTGCAAGCCAGTTAACAAAGAGGGGATTTTGGAGAGAGCAGGAGAGTAAAGAACAAAATCGAGAAAAGAGCAATACAGGAAGCAACTTGGAAATGCTGGAAACTTGTTCACACATGCATGTTTATCACCTGATGACTACAATGTGTGAACATTATCTTTTAAGTTTTCTCCGCTGCAATATTTGGTGACTTACGGTTGAGTGGATAAATATGAATGAAAGGTCGTCAAGTTAACATCTTGTACATGTGAATGGAACACAACAGTTCCCAAGGGAGTGAAGATCACAGGCCCCCTGTGAGCCAGCAGGCCTCAAGATGCCAAATGACACATAGGCATGCTTGAACCAGGCCTGAATTAGGGCCCTTGGGGATTGTGTCCTCCAGTTCCTCCTGGGTGCAAAACCACACCTGACTCAAGGCACTTAAAAACTGGCCTGTGAGAGAACGGTGGGCTATGAACCAAAAGCGGTGAGGGTCTGCTGTGTGTAGGGTGACCGTGGATAGAAGGAAAGGCCCCATAGGAAGGAGATGGATGGAGACCAGAAGCTGGGGAAGAGGGGGAAAGACTAGAAATTGAAGTAGGGGGTGAAGAAGAGTGGTGAGGGGGGAAGTTGGGGCAAGACCACAGCTGTGGATGAAGAGAAAGTAGAATGAAATATAAGCGGTGGGGGGAGGAGAGGTGGGAATTGCTCTAGTTCCAAGACCTCAAGTTACAATGCTGGGAGAGACTGCGGGGGGGGGGGGCACAGCTCAGATGGTGGTGCAGCTGCTCTGCATAGAAGAGGTCCCATTTTGAATGACCATTAGAATTTCCTCAGGAAGCAGAGCTGCAGAAGCCTCAGCCTTGGAACAGGGGTAGGGGAACATTTGTGGGAGGACCCCCCCCCCCAAGATGTTGCTGAATTGCAACTCCCCCACCCCTCCCATGCGCAGCTGGGGCTGATGGGAGTCCCAATAACATCTGGAGGGCCACAGATCACCCACTGGAGCTGGAAAGTAGCTGCCTGTCAGAGCGAAACAGAGGTGCTCAGGCCCAGCTGCCCCCAACTTTCGACACCAGGTTAAGGCCCATGCAATTGTCTTGGGGGGAAGTATGAACTCTGCAGCCTTACCTTATAGCAGCTGCTGCCCTGCACTTTGAGATTCAAGAGGCTGAAACCTCTGTCCTACCTGCTCTCACTTTAATTCATGGAAATGCTAATAAGTGATACAAATCAGACCCGAGAGGCAGCAAGGCAGGGAAAAGCCAGCAGTGAAGAGCAGGCACCTCGGGGCGGGGGGGGGGGGTCAGCCAAGCCTGGCACCAAATCGGACCCCAGGGAGAGCTGCAAACGTGCTAATAAAGGTCAACCACCCGCATATAGAAGCTTCCCCTTTGGGAACCTGCGATGTTTTCTGGATTTTTATGAAATAGATGAAATACATAAATAAATGCAGCCTCTCCGACTGGGGAAGCACCGAGGAGCCGAACCCTCCCGTTCCCTCCCTGCCAAGCAGCAGGCGGCACTGACAGGGCCGCTTCCCCCCTGACACGCGACAGGGCCGCTTCAGACGTTCGTCCCCGGGAGGAGCTGCTGGGAGCGGTTGCCATGGACACGCGAGGGGCGGGGGAGCCGGGGTTGCCATGGGCACCAAGGCCTGGCTGATGCTGCCGCGCCTCGTTCCGCGGGGTTACCTCTCCCGGGGAGGCCATGGTCGGCGGGCCTCGGCCTCCGAAAGCGCCTCCGCCTCTGCCTCAGCCGCCGACCCTTCCTCACGCGCAGCCTCCCAGCCGGCGGAGACGAGGACGGAGCAGATTCCGGCGCGCTCCTGACCTCACTTCCGCTCCCCGGCCGCCTCAGAGGCGCCATTTGGGGAGAGGCGGAAGAAAGCGGAGGCGCCATCTTGAGAAGGTCCGCCACCCCCACCCCCACCCCGCCCGAGCAGTCTCTTCTCCTGCTTCTCCGCCTCCGTCCGGCGCTGGCGCGGGAATAGAGTTTCTACCTCTGTGTTCCTCGTTATGTCTCCATCTATTTCTCTCTCTCTCTCTGCCTCCCTCTTTCCGTGTATGTACCATCGTGTCCCGGACGCCATCTTGGGAGTGGCATTGGCCAGCCAAAAAAAAGAGCCGGCACTCAGATTTCTTGCTTTTAGGCTGCTATCCAAAACATGCCTGCTTTTATTTGCATAGTGACTGAGGGCATACTTGTCCCACCTTCCTCCCGAGGCGGCGTCCATAGCTCTCCCTCTTCTCCTGTTTGTCCTCACAGCAACCCTGCGAGGTAGGCCTGACTTGGTATAAAGCAGCTTCCTAACTGTAGAGTTGGGAGGGACCCCGCGGGGTCATCTAGCCCAGCCCTCTGCAATGCGAGAATTGCAGCTGATTGACAGCGGAATGGATTCCCTCTCCTTCCTGGGAGGTTTTTAAGCAGAGCTTGGAGGTCCATCTGTCCTGGATACTTTAGCTGAGATTACTGCACTACAGGGGGTTGGACTAGATGACCCTCGAGAGCCCTTCCACCTCTACTAATCTAGGAATCCTCTGGCAGATGGCCACCTGTCCTCTGCTTAAAAGCCTTCAAGGAAAGAGAGAGCCTGTGCCGGACCTCAATGGCTTTAGAAGGAGGACTTGGCAGACTCTTTGGGAAGGCTGCAAGTCACGATGGCTCTGTTTGCTACCTCCAGATGAGAGAACGTGGGCCTCCAAACACCAGCTGCTGTGGGGCAGCAGCAAGAGTGCAGTTGTGCTTGTGGACTCTGGTTTCACCTGTTCCAGCAGGGCTCTTAAATTCCTTGCAGCAAATATGGATTATTAAGGACAGCGGAGGCTGAAATCCCAACTCCGCTCAGAATTCAGCAGGGTTGACTTCTGAGCAGACATGGCTAGGGCTGCGCTTAATGCCTCTCCCAGAGGGATGGGAACTGTAGTGTGGCGGCCAAATGCATCCCTCCCCTAGGCTTATATGGTCATAGGATCCTAGAGTTTGAAGGGACCCTCAGGATCATGTAGTCCAAACCCCTGCAATGCAGGAATAGGCAGCTCTCCCATATAGGAATCGAACCCGCAACTTTGGAGTTATCTGCACCATGCGCTAATCAACTGAGTTGTCTGTATTCAGAGGCATATCACCTTTGACAGTGGACACAGGACATAGGCATCATAGCCCTCTCCTCCATGATTTTGTCTAAACCTCTCTTAAAGCCATCCAGATTGATCAAGAGTCTGGAAGCCAAGCCTTAAAAGGAACGGTTGAGTTGGGTGTCTTTAGTCTGGAGAAAAGCAGACTCGGGGGAGCTACAATAGCCATCTTCACATGGAAGAGGGAGCAAGCTTGGCTTCTCCTGCTCTGGAGGGTAGGATCTGAACCCATGGCTTCAATTTACAGATAGGTAGCCGTGTATAAACGGACATAAATCTGACATCAAGAATCACAAGACAGAGAAACCAGTAGGAGAACACTTCAATCTCCCAGGACATTCTATACAAGATCTCAAAGTAGCTGTTTTACTACAAAGGAATTTCAGAAATAGACTGGAAAGAGAAGCTGCTGAATTGCAACTCATTACCAAACTTAAAACCATGGAGAGACCTGGCCTGAACAGAGACATTGGATTCTTATCTCATTATACATGACAAAGCTATTTTTCACCTTCTCACCCCTTGCTTTTTCCTGTAAGACCTATTGCAGTCGTTAAGAGTCGTCAACAGGCTCATCACAGCTATCTGCCAATCACCCATTCCCACACCCTTGTGAGTAATACCCCTCCCCACCTTCTCACTATATAGAAGGATCTGGCAACTTCTGTTTCAGTGTATCTGAAGAAGTGTGCATGCACACGAAAGCTCATACCAAGAACTAACTTAGTTGGTCTTTAAGGTGCTACTGGAAGGAATTTTTTTTTGTTTTGACCATGGCTTCAAGTTACAAGAAAGGAGATTCTGACTAAACATCAGGAAGACTCCCCTGGGAAATGGTGGCCTCTCCTTCTTTGGAGGTTTTTAAGCGGATGCTGGACGGTCATCTGTCATGGATGCTTTAGTTGAAATTCCTGCATTGCAGGGGGTTGGACTAGATGACCCTGCGAGTCGGTTCCAGCACTACGATTCTGATTCTAAGCTGGTGGCCATCCCTGTCTCCTGAGGGAGGGAGTTCCAAAGTTTTAACTCTGCTCTAGGTAAAAAATGACTTTCTTTTCTCTGCCCTGAACCTTCGAATATTCATCTTCTTTGGGTGCCCATCAGTTCTAGCTTTACATTATTATTAAGGGAGAAACACTCTGCTCGCTTTAAAGAACCATCAGTACTGTAAATCCTTTTCGCAGAACTGCTAGTGAGAAAGACACACACCCCATTTCCTCGGTTCAACTCATTCAGGTAAACGCTACTGGAAGTTTTCAGGAGCGCAAGATCAGCCCTGCTAGAACAAAGGTCCGTCTCCTCTTCCAGCACCCCATCGCTCTCAGGAGCCTGTCTGCAAAACCCACTATCAGGGACCCTGCTTCTGATCCTGGAGATCTCTAGAGCGCCATCCTCACTAGTAACCATCAACAGGCCTCCTCTCCTCCATGAATCCACTGGATCCCTTTTAAATAGCAACAGGCACCTGCTATTCAAAACACCTGGACTGAAAACAGCCAGTGTCTAAGGAAGGAGGGACAGGATTCTGGCAAGAGGTACATGGAAGGTGGGCAAGCCTGCTTCAAGACAGTCAGAAAGGAATCAGCTCTCAATGGCTGTCCATTAACTCATTCCTTCACCTCCCATTAGAAGCAGTGCACCCTGGATTCCAGGCATCGCTGAGAGGCCCATATTGCCAGGCTGGCACTGTTTGCCAAGCTTCCCTAAGGTTGCTCAGCTGCATCTCAAAATGACCATTGGCAGTTGACGTCACTCAAGGAGGGTCTATCTTTAAGGGAAGGACTAAGGGACGCAGGTGGCGCTGTGGGTTAAACCAGAGCCTAGGGCTTGCCCGACCATGTGGTCAGTGGTTTGACGGGGCTCAGTCCCTGCTCCTGCCAACCTAGCAGTTCGAAAGCACGCCCGGCGGGAAGCTAAAGAGTGTTTCCATGTGCTGCTCTGGTTTGCCAGAAGCAGCTTAGTCATGCTGGCCACATGACCCGGAAGCTGTACGCTGGCTCCCTCGGCCAATAAAGCGAGATGAGCACCGCAACCCCAGAGTCGTCCATGACTGGACCCAACGGTCAGGGGTCCCTTTACCTTTAAGTGGTCAAACATACGACCAACATCTGAAGGAACCAGCAAATGCTCCTTTTGACCACACTGGATAGGGTTGCAGACCCCTGTTCCTGTTGCAAGGCCAACTTGGGCAAGCAGATGGAATCCAGGAGTCTCAGAAGAGAAATCTCTGTGCTAGGGGATTAATACATATTTGCTTGTGTTTGCAACTAAAAAGGTTCTGCATAAGGAGACAGTAATGTTAAGAGCTTGGGTCAGTTCTAGACTTATTTTCACCAGTTCTAACTCAGTACAGTATCAGGGGTTGCAGGCTGCCATCTGAGAGCTGAATGGCTTTTTATAATTAGAAATGCTTCTAAATACTATACTCAAGGTGCCAAACTGAAGAAGCTACTTTTCTTTGGTTTCTACTGTCCTGTGCATCATCCCAGGCCCTCAGCTCAGTGGAACCTCCAGTACCAAGAGGACTATTTCAGCACAAACCAGAGCAAAGCGCCTGGGTCATCCTCCCAGGGCTTCTGGCTGCTTTGAATTGCCAGCCCAATTGTCCTTGAATGCACCTAGAAACAGAAGATCTTAGTAGATCAAAAGGCAGAACTCACCCTGAACTGGAACCATGTTCATATACTTTATATATCTGCCCTCAAGCCCATACAGGAAATGAAGTCAAAAGGAAAAAGGGCAGGCATTGTCCAGTTAATCCTGCCCCTGCACGTTATTAGTATTCAGCACCATAGTCTGCCTGCAGGAATGAAACTACCGTCAAGAGGCTTTTGCTTGACGCTTAGGGTAAGCAGGCTGCCTCCAACTCTGCTCAGCCCTTAGGCTTCATGAGTTGTTTCTGCAGCAGTGGTTCAAAGCCCAGGCCTGTAAGCAGGCAGAACTTGCACCCTAGGAGTGCTTTTGAGCCACAAGGCCAGGTCTTTCCAAATGGTGCCAGGCTGCTCATCCCCAACCACAGACCCTACAGGCTACAGCCGATAGGAATTGGGATGGCCCCAGGTTTCCCATTCTTGTACTAGTTCCATGCTTGTTCCAAGTTGTAGTCAGACCACTTTCTACCTTGGCAAGGGAAGTCTCTCGTAAGGGAAGGAAGTTCATGTATGGAAGCCTGTGGCTGACTTGCACCATGCGTTACTCCAACTAGACTAGCAGCTTGGTTTGGCAACACTTCCCAGATTGGCAATTGATCTTGCCGGTATCAGAACCGGCCCTGGGGATAAAAGCCCCCCCCACCCTCCCCACATTCTCTTGGGATTCCTTCCACCTCTGCCGTTCTGTTTCTATGGCCCTCTTCTTTGCCCCAACCAAACCCAGGCTGCGCGGACCAGAGACTTGACACGAAGAGGCAAAAGTCTATCATGTGCATCTTTATTGGAACTGTTTATTTTAAAGTCAGTGTACAGTTTTCACCCCCACCGTTATCCCTGTATACATACTGGCACCAAATTTGGGTAAGGGCTCCCCCAGCTCTGGGAGGGGGAAGGGGGGTACACTGTAAACCTTCACATCTAGAGATTGGGAAGAAGATAAACCTACACAGCCCGTTTCTATTTCATTATTGGTTTTTTGCATGGCCAAAAGTAAACAAAAATTGGAAGAGGACCAAGTGTTTTTTT